TCTCATAGCATATATAGAGGGAAGAAAAGAAAGAAGAAAGTAAAAGGTGTTCATATGAAGTCAAAGAATGCATCTTTGGCACCCCCAATTCAGGAAACAACGATGGAGGCACGCGTCGGCGCCGCCGTGGAAAAAGCTGCCGGCGACGGCATGAAGGCATGGGATGGTGGTAGCAACATTTTGGTGAGAAGGGTGATGTATGTGGCCATGATCCTTGGTGGAGTTGGAGTGTTGTGGATGTCCTTTTATCACTTTGGTTCTCCCTTGGAATGCCCCACCTTCTCACGCTACTCCATGGATGAATCATCAAAGGTCAGTATCTCTTTCTGTCCATCTTTGAGTCAACATGGTGGTCAAAATTCAAGAGAATCAAAATAGTTTTCTGTGATGCTATTTTCTCACTTAATATATATAACTATAATTTTATAATTAATTATTTGTAATAAATTTTAGTTTGATATTAAAAAATGTATATATATATATATATATATAGTATGATTTTTTTTGGTGAAATAAAGAATAAACATAATTAATTATTACAGTATCATTTTATTTAAATTATTGAAATAAATTAAATTGTTAATATATATGACTCAAAAATAGGAGAATAAGAAAAAGTCAAACTCGACGAATAAAGATAATGTTTTTAATTTGGGAACTTAAACCAATTGTCTTGCTAAGTTCGATAGGTCAATCTTGCAAGTTAGTCGAATTAGCATAACAACCCAGCTTTATTAAAATTAAATCTAAACCGCACCACGACACTTTGTATCAACACAACCCGACCAAAGTTTGAAACATCTCGAACAACATCCATTTTCAGTCTGGTAGCCCAATATTAGCCTACTTTTATGTAAAAATTAAAAATTTCAATCTATTTTCATGTGATATTAGATTTTTTATAACAGAAAAAAAAATGACAAGTCAGTCCGCCAGCCCATCAATTTAACAGACCGAATTGTAAAGTTTAATTCGTTTTCAATTGACACACTAGTTCAACCTAATCATTTTTGATAGGCGAATACCGAACCAAACTTAAATGGATCGGTTTTGACCCATTTTTCTATCCCTACTAAAAAGTTTAAATTTAATTAATTATTTGCATATAAAAGTATCACATAAATTATTATATCTTATTTTAATCTCTACAATATCAAAAAGAAAAATAAAATTAAGGGAAAGGCAATTTTCCTCAAATTTCATTCACCAATCTCGAATACAGACATTCACTGATCTTTCATTACAAACTTTCACCAAACAATCTATTTATTTTCATCTATGGTGATATTCTAAACTAAAACTATACAGAAGCGACATTGTTGCATGCAATAAAGGCAGTGCAGAATTTTGAAACTATCTTGATTTAATTTCTAATAATTGTGCATCATTTGTCACACATCTCAGATTATCTCACTTCTCTCACTCTTGATCTTGAAGGGATTACATTGTTCTGTCATTTGTCCTCTCACGTGTTTGATAAATTTCTTGAGTGAATTTTGAAGTTGGATTACCAAGTGTTTGATGTTTGTCTTGGCTTTATGCATCAGGGTGATCATGATCAAAGGCTAGAGAGTGTTCTTAGAAGGGCAAGTATGAAGGATAAGACAGTGATACTCACAACTTTGAACGATGCATGGGCAGCGCCAGGTTCCATATTTGACCTCTTTCTTGAGAGTTTTCGTATAGGAAATCAGACAGAATATCTTTTAAACCACTTGGTGGTAATAACTTACGAACAAAAGACACAAGATCGTTGCCTTGCTGTGCACAAGTATTGTCACAACCTCATGTCTAAAGGTGACAATTTCACTGGTGAACAACGTTACATGACCCCAAACTACCTACACATGATGTGGAAAAGGCTTGAATTCCTTAGTTCTATTCTTGATATGGGATACAGCTTTGTCTTCACGGTATGTACATATATGTTTGTTTTGCAGAAAAAGCTTAACATCTTTGCACTCACTCAATCAAATAACGAAACAAGGATATGTCATGAAAACGTTAGGAAAACTTTTCACTAACATCTGTGAAGTAAATGGTTTGTTTTTTGTTTTCTTTTGCAGGATTGTGATATAATGTGGCTTAGAGATCCCTTCAAACAATTTTTCAAGGATGCAGATTTCCAAGTAGCTTGTGATGGTTTCAACGGGAATTCCTCTGACATACACAACCCTACAAATGCAGGGTTTAAATATGCGAAATCTAATTATCGAACAATTTGGTTCTACAAGTTCTGGATAAACTCCAGGAGTTCAAACCCAAAATTGAATGAGCAAGATGTGCTGAACAGGATCAAAGGGCACCCCTCAATTTCTGACATGAAGCTGAAGATGAAGTTCCTTAGCACCACCTATTTCTCAGGGTTTTGTCAGGTTAGCAAGGACTTCAACAAGGTCACAACAATGCATGCCAATTGCTGTATTGGTTTAGAACCCAAAATCAGTGATCTTAAATTGGTGCTAGAAGACTGGAAGAAGTATATGGCATTGTCTGAGTATAATAAAACAGAGTCACATCTTTCTTGGAGGGTACCAAAACGTTGCTAGTTCTAATATCTCATAATTTTGTAATTTAATGTATACGAGTTATATGATTCATAAATTTTATATAAATATTTTTATTCTTTTACAACAATGAAATATATATATATATATAACTAAAAATCAATCAATTAATAATAATAATTAAAAATTATCATAGTAATATTATTACAAAATAAAATAAGATGAATAAAAAAATAAAAGAAAGAAAAGAAAAATTAACAAGATTAAGTACATTAAAGATATATATAGAGTAAAAAATATTCAACTTTGTAATGATTACTAGATTTAAAAAAAAAAAATTACTAAGGGAGTTACTGATAAGATGAAGTTAGATATAAATCTCTCTTACATATAACAAAATAAAAAGTCAATTCATTTGGCAGAAAGTATTAAGAAAAATCTAATATTTGCCTATCACAAATATCATTTGATGGAGGCTCCAGTTACGTTGCTATTATAAATGGTTTTCTGTCTTTCTTCAAAGTTCAGGGAGATTGTGAGATGAGCTTTTTTGGCTCTAAATGTCTGTAATTATTTATATACATATATTTTAAAATGAACAAAAGCTGTTTTTATATTATTAGAAAATGTTGTATGTAGTTTTTTGTTTTAATATTACTAATACTTATTAAATTATCACTTTATCTTTTGTATAATGAAGAAAATGGTATAAACAATAATTGCTTTTTGTAGAAATCTTTAAGGGAAGAAATAAAAGAAGCATGTCAATTTTATAAATTAGTAAAAACAACTTTTTATTTTCTCTCAAAACAACATTTGTCTTCTTGTTGATTTGTTATTGTTTATTGTAAGTAGCTTCGTTTTCTTTAGTTATTTATTTGTTGTAAATAGATTTTTTTTCTTTGTAAACTCTAATGCTTCCTCTAGTTAAGGGTTGAGGAGAAAGTAGTGACATANGAATTTACTGTGTATGTAACTGCTGTTTTGAAGATTGATGTGTATGTAATTGAGTGATTTTGGTGATCGGTATTGCTTGTTTGAACTGTTAAAATATGTGATTATGTTGAATTGGTTTTATGCTGAGTTACTGGTACTGTCTTACAATGAATCTTGAGGAAGTGAGGTAGTGAAAAGGGGAATTTGGGGTCAGACGTTGAGTTGGTCAGTGGAGAGATTTTAGGTAAGATATTTAGGACTGGTTAAAGACCCTAAGTCACTCAAACTGTGCCAAAAACCAGTAAAATCGAATTTGAGTCTTTAAGTTGATGATGATGCAGATTTGGATCGTGAATCTGGTGGCAAATCCTTTAGAAAATGTATAGAAAGGTTTTAATATCCTTAGAAAAATGTAAATAGGTATATGATACAAGTCTGGAGGATTAGAAGTTGGGAGAAATGTTGGGAATGGGTAAAGATGTAGTTCATAATTCTATAGTTATACTGCAGAATTATGCAGTCTGAGAAGAGGAAGCCGATGACTATTCGGCCTTCCTCTTGTGTTCGGTCTTAACTAAGTTCTGATTCCGTGGAGCTTTTCAATTAATGACCGATCGGTCTTGTACTAGTATTCAATTGAATATAGCGTTCGGCCTTACTAGCGTTTGGTCTTGGAAGTACTCGGTCTTGTACTAGCACTCGATCTTAGTAGTGCTCGGTCTTGTACTAACGCTTGGTCTTGGTAGTGCTCGGTCTTGTACTAGCACTCAGTCTTGGTAGTGCTCGGTCTTGTACTAGTGCTCGGTCTTGGTAGTGCTTGGTATTGTATTGGTGTTCGGTCTTAACTACGTTCGGTTTCTTCTGGGTCTTCTACTAATGATCGTTCGGTCATGCTCGTGTGTTGTCAGTATTTTCCCGTTCGGTCTTGTTCGTAGGTTATATTGATCTTTTCCGTTCGGTCGTACTCAGGGGTTGTGTTGTTGCCCGTTCGGTCTTCTTCTACGAAAAGTTATTTGGTCTTTAAATGTTGATTTCACTGTTTGACTCTGATTGCTTGTTATAGTTTCATTGATCTACTATGTATGAGAAATTATATTGATATTCAAATAAGGTATGTTGTTCCTATTGGTATTATAGAGAATTCCAAGGAGGGATATCTCTATGTTGGTTATTAAGGTGGTAAAGTATGAGTATGGACAACGAAATCCACAGAGTTCATCCTAAAATTCTGATGATTACCAATTCTCAAGTAGAGTGGGTAATGCATTGTGTGAGAATGACAGGAGATCCTAGCCCATAGGTTCTTGGGTGAGTTATAACGGACTAACCTCGGGTGGCAGCTGATGGTTTTCCAGTTACTACACCACTCGAGTGCATGAACGAACTCAATCTACATATTCATACAATCCGGATGGTCAAGTCATTAATTCGGTTATAGTATGTATTTTATGATTATTTTGGTATGCTTGATATGTTTGTATGTTGCATGTTTGTTTATACTCCTTTTAATTGAATGATTAATTAAATTACTCTANTGAATCAGGTTTATACCGATAGCAGGTTGGAGAGTATTCTTAGAAATGCATCAATGAAGGATAAGACAGTGATAATCACGACTTTGAACGATGCATGGGCAGAGCCAGGTTCCATATTTGACCTCTTTCTAGAGAGTTTTCGAGTAGGGAACCAGACGCAGCAACTTTTAAACCACTTGGTTGTAATAACGTATGACCCAAAGACACATGAGCGTTGCCTTGCCATGCACCATCATTGTTACCTAGTTGAAAACAAAGAGGGAAATTTCACCGGTGAAATGTTTTACATGTCCCCAAACTACCTACAATTGATTTGGGGTAGAGCTAAACTCCTTGGTTCTGTCCTTGAGTTGGGATACAACTTTCTGTTCACGGTATATACATTCATAATTCGTACATTTCTTTTGGAAGAAAAAGCTTCTTAAGATCTTCACCATTCTGTCACTCACCCTGCTACAAGGAGTTCATGTTTTGACGACACTTTTCATTAAAGGGGTTTAGTTTGGTTGTTTTTAATTTGCAGGATACAGACATAATGTGGCTCAGAGATCCCTTCGGCCTATTTTACGAAGATGCAGATTTCCAAATAGCTTGTGATTTCTTCAATGGAAATTCCAGTGACATCGGCAACTTTCCAAATGGAGGGTTTAAGTATATGAGATCGAATGAGAGAACGATTTGGTTCATAAAGTTCTGGATCAACGCTAGGATTTACTTCCCAGGATTGGGAGAGCAAGCGGTGTTCAACATGATCAAACTGCATCCCTTGATTGCTGACATGAAGGTGAAGATCAGGTTCCTTAGCACTGATTACTTTGGAGGGTTTTGTGAACCTAGCAAGGACCTCAACCAGGTCTCAACAATGCATGCCAATTGCTGTATTGGCATAGAAAACAAAATCCATGATCTCAAAATTCTGCTTGAAGATTGGAAGAAGTATATGGCATTGTCTGACCATGACAGAGAACACTTGAGTCATTCTTGGACCGTACCACAACGTTGCGGGTAATGTCAATTACTTTTCTAATCGTTCTTATACATGTTTTTACCACAACGTTTGATATTATCAATGAAGAGATGGTTCTTTTTGTCTTTGAATAATTGTGCATTTTGGCATCATGCAGACCTCAATTACCAGCAGATCCCTTACCAGAAAATCCCTTGCCAGTAAATCCTGAACCATTACAAAAGGTAGCACAATAAACAAAGGTTGTGATTACACTTGTTGCTGACATTTTATAGGTAGAACATCAAATAATACAAAAAGAGTCTTTAATACATAGTTTTCTTTTAAATATAAGTCTTACTTACTTACAATGGTATATTTTATTACAAAAATATGTACAAAAATAAATATTACATTTGAATTTGAATAGGATATGTTGACATTTGAGAGATGAAAGAGGCTTTGAGAGGTGAAAAAGATGAAGTTCCTGTATCATTACTAGAAAAGAATTGTAAACTTGTTTATTGATACAATAACATTATGTGTGTATATATGTATTGGGTTTTCTCCAATTGGGTTTTGAATCTTCTGATTATTTTTCTTTCTGACCTTATCAAATTTATTCTGCATCTCATCATTTCTGATTTTACTTTTCGGAATATACTAAAAATAAAAGTCATAAAAAATAAATTTTTATATTTTAAATAAAAATAATAAAAACTAAAAAAATAATAATATTAAATAAATGTAAAAAAATTGTGTATTAAAGTATCGTTTCTTTTATTCTTTATGTAAATTTATTGAGTAATTTTGTTATGGGCCCTGCCCAATTTCAGTCTCTTAATCTTTGGACATTTAATGTTGGGCCTGATGCTTTTATAAATAAACCAGCCCAAAATAGTAATTTAAGTAACATGCAATTGTTTTTAATTTAAATCTTCAAATTTTACTCCTAGAATAATATTATGTTTTTTCAAATACTAAATTTTAAGACATTCTAAAATGTATATTCTAGAAGTTTCAAACTTTCAATTCGTTTTACAATGTACTTTAAATTTTTCAAAAAAGTGTTAAAAATCTGACAAAATTATTTTCTGGAAGTTAATTTTTTTTGAGAAAGAGAAAATGACATGAATTGTCTCTAGGTTAACGTGTGTTTGTTATATGTTGATATACTCACTTTCTTGATTTTGATAATAATGGTAAGGTAAAAAAAATCCCAAATAAAATATAACTCCTAGAAAACATTGGTATAGAAGTAAAAAATAAAAGTTGTTATGTTTAATCAATCCTTTGCATATTATTTATTTGTTTTGGGTATCAAGGTTTTGTAAATAATAAATTGCTAGCTTAATTAATTTGAATGTTAATATGAATAAAAATCATTACTTGTTGAAAATCTTTATCTTGGGGTTCTCATCCATAATGTAAATTTATCTTGTTTAGACTTGATAGCTTGAAAATTATTATTTTTTCAAAACTTTTTTTTATTTTCACTCAAAAGTGTTAAATTTGATTAAATTTATTGTCTCATCATAACTTTTTTTCAAAAGAGAGCTATAGAAAAAAAATGTTCTTTTAACAACTTTTTCTTAGTAACTTTTTAATAATCGGTGGCGTTTCAAATATTTTTCTGAAAATAAATTTAAACCAAACTAATAAAATAATAAAATAGTAACACTGTTAAAAAGTTATTAAAATAAGTTGTTAAATAATCATATAATCCGTTATAGAATTTAATTTCTTTATTTTTTTAAAGTATAAAGAATATCAATATGCAAATATTAGAAAAAAGGGACGAAACTGAGCAGTAATATAGTTTATCTCACATACAAGTTGTATCTATATGACACGTATTTCATTATATACCTTTTTTTTACTTAATTATAAATCAAGACACGAATGTAACTATCAAATGAATATATGATAGAAAATTCTTGATATCTTTAAAAAATAACTTATATTGAATATATCTTATCATATATTGATATAATTCTTAAATGCTTTGTGTCTACACCTCCTCTGCATAAATTAAAATAAATTAAAATATTTATTAATTATTGATGATTTTTATTAAGTGATATAAATTTCTATTGACTCTTATTACATATACATTTATTTATACGAGTTGAGAATTATAAAACATATCATCGTAAAATTTTGATTACTAATATAAACTTCTCTTAAATGTATAATTAATGAAAGACTGAAAAAGTTTCAAAGGTCCGTTAACATAAAAAATTATTAAAAAACCTTTCAACAACGTATCAATCTTTTAAGGCAACCTCTTTTCTACCTTTATATATTTCTTTCTACACTCTGTATAAAAAGAGAAAAAAAAAACATATTTTATCTTTTTGGATGGTATAATCTAAAGTAAAAGCTATTTTCAGATTGTATAATCTAAAAATTAAAAATAATTTCTTTTAAAAACTACTTTTTCAAAAAATAAAAAACCTTTCGCATTGCATAATGTAAGAACCCAGAAAATAGAAGTAATAGAGTAGATAGATATATTAAAATAATGGAATTGAGCTTTTAGTGGTAAAATACACCAACAATATAAATTAGAAATTTTATCAAACAGTTCATTATATTAAAACTGTATATCTCTCTAAAACCTCTGTTTTCTACCTCTACTCTCCCTTCTCTCTAGATTTTTTCCATATCACTTCATTTGTTCTACAATATGACCATGCTTAAGCAATCCTGGTGTTAAGAGCTTCCATTCCACCGATCAATTTTTTGTTTTAGAGCTGGTAAGTTTGTTTCTCTTTAATTCTTGAAATTTCTGCAATTTCTTGTACATGCAAACACTGTTTGGCTTGCATGTGTTCATGGGTTCTTCATCTGGGATCTGATTCTGTTCCTGATTCGGTGGTTGGTTTCCTTTCACCGATCCAATGTCTGTAGGTTGTCCTAGAATCACTTTCGGTTTAACAAAACTGTGAAGAAGCTTAAACCTGTCAAGTTGCTTTGAGGTAAGGGAAGCTAGTTAATTTAATTGATGAATTTACTGTGTATGTAACTGCTGTTTTGAAGATTGATGTGTATGTAATTGAGTGATTTTGGTGATCGGTATTGCTTGTTTGAACTGTTAAAATATGTGATTATGTTGAATTGGTTTTATGCTGAGTTACTGGTACTGTCTTACAATGAATCTTGAGGAAGTGAGGTAGTGAAAAGGGGAATTTGGGGTCAGACGTTGAGTTGGTCAGTGGAGAGATTTTAGGTAAGATATTTAGGACTGGTTAAAGACCCTAAGTCACTCAAACTGTGCCAAAAACCAGTAAAATCGAATTTGAGTCTTTAAGTTGATGATGATGCAGATTTGGATCGTGAATCTGGTGGCAAATCCTTTAGAAAATGTATAGAAAGGTTTTAATATCCTTAGAAAAATGTAAATAGGTATATGATACAAGTCTGGAGGATTAGAAGTTGGGAGAAATGTTGGGAATGGGTAAAGATGTAGTTCATAATTCTATAGTTATACTGCAGAATTATGCAGTCTGAGAAGAGGAAGCCGATGACTATTCGGCCTTCCTCTTGTGTTCGGTCTTAACTAAGTTCTGATTCCGTGGAGCTTTTCAATTAATGACCGATCGGTCTTGTACTAGTATTCAATTGAATATAGCGTTCGGCCTTACTAGCGTTTGGTCTTGGAAGTACTCGGTCTTGTACTAGCACTCGATCTTAGTAGTGCTCGGTCTTGTACTAACGCTTGGTCTTGGTAGTGCTCGGTCTTGTACTAGCACTCAGTCTTGGTAGTGCTCGGTCTTGTACTAGTGCTCGGTCTTGGTAGTGCTTGGTATTGTATTGGTGTTCGGTCTTAACTACGTTCGGTTTCTTCTGGGTCTTCTACTAATGATCGTTCGGTCATGCTCGTGTGTTGTCAGTATTTTCCCGTTCGGTCTTGTTCGTAGGTTATATTGATCTTTTCCGTTCGGTCGTACTCAGGGGTTGTGTTGTTGCCCGTTCGGTCTTCTTCTACGAAAAGTTATTTGGTCTTTAAATGTTGATTTCACTGTTTGACTCTGATTGCTTGTTATAGTTTCATTGATCTACTATGTATGAGAAATTATATTGATATTCAAATAAGGTATGTTGTTCCTATTGGTATTATAGAGAATTCCAAGGAGGGATATCTCTATGTTGGTTATTAAGGTGGTAAAGTATGAGTATGGACAACGAAATCCACAGAGTTCATCCTAAAATTCTGATGATTACCAATTCTCAAGTAGAGTGGGTAATGCATTGTGTGAGAATGACAGGAGATCCTAGCCCATAGGTTCTTGGGTGAGTTATAACGGACTAACCTCGGGTGGCAGCTGATGGTTTTCCAGTTACTACACCACTCGAGTGCATGAACGAACTCAATCTACATATTCATACAATCCGGATGGTCAAGTCATTAATTCGGTTATAGTATGTATTTTATGATTATTTTGGTATGCTTGATATGTTTGTATGTTGCATGTTTGTTTATACTCCTTTTAATTGAATGATTAATTAAATTACTCTATCTTACCCTTTTTGTTTTCTTTTTTGTTATGTGTTCCGTTAGGTATTTATTCTTTGCGATAATCACCTTTTGGGTGTGAGCAGGGGGGAGGAGTGTTCGTTGGAGCAGGCGTTGGAGGGCGAGAACCCTAATGTTTAGATTATGATCGTTCGGTCATACTACTGTTTATAGTTTTGGTTGAACCGTTCGGTCACAGTTTTAATCCTGTATTACCCAGTCGGTTAGGTACATAATTTTGGAATAGTGTAGAACTTTTGTAAAGCTTTAAATTTTTATGGTTATTTTTGTAATAATTATAAGGTTAATTTTATTTTCAGTAACTATTTTATCATATTATTAAATGATGACACATGTATATAGTTTTATGTTATATTTTTGGGATGTTACATGTAATAAAATAAAAATCATACCGTTTAAAGACCAAATTTAATATTTAGTAATAATAACTCTTTTAAACAATTACATATTAGTTATCTGGCTTTCTTTTCATTTTTATAAATTATCCAATTCAAAATATATTTATGTATCATAAAACATAAAACATGTATAACTAGTGGTCTCATACGAGGAACAAAAGGAGGTTTAAAATAGAAAGAAGTTGACATCAGAAAGAATGAAAGATAGCTGAGAGAGCATTGAGAAGAAATAGAAGCAGCAGCCACCTTAAACTGCTTATGTTTTAATCATCACCAAAAAGAAAAAAGAAAACCATCATACGTGACTCATCCAAGAGATAACCATTAACCAACTACTGCCTTCTCAATTTTCTAACATTCTTTGATAATGATTTTTCATTA